TAGGGAATTAATATGAACAGATTTTTACCCCAAACTAATTAGGTTTGTACATTGTCCTAGAGCATCTTTGTACTAAGTTTCATGAAATGGAATAATTAGCACCGTGAAAACTCCAAAATTTCGACCCCTCTAAAAATTTGACCGCCTATTTATTTGCCGGGTTTCGGTGTTTTATTTACCTCCAAATTTTCGACTCCACTAAAAATTGCCGACTCATTCTTATTCGAAAATTGCGACCAGTTTTAGTTTTCCCCCAAACGAAAAAAAAAACCGATGTGAGCGTTCAAACGGGACCTTCCTCAAAGGCATGAATCCGGGTTTCTGATTGACTGAGAGATTTTTATTTTATTGGTAACGAAAATATATTCTAAATAAACGAAGTTTCAAATAAAAACGAACACAAAAATCTCGGCATGCTGCGTTTCTGAATTGTTGATTATTACTGTACTCAGTAGTGATTATAATAATGTACACAAAATAAATTTGTTGAATGGTTATGAAATACAAATAAAAGTCAACTTAGTTTCATCGTAAGCGAATGATTCCGGTCTCGTATAAACGTTTGATGCTGTAGGATATCCGCCATGTTCTCTTAGGTCAAATAGGTCAAATCGCTAATTAACCAATCAAAAAGCTGGATGATGCGAAAACGGCATGATTTTTTTTAAATAAAAAAATTAGTTGTTTTTAAAAAATAAACTGGTCATCTGAAGAATAATTTAACATTGTTCACAGTGATAACAGCTCATTCTCGAAAGGAAGCTTACCCGCTCACGCTAGTCACGATAAAAATCATACACGTGTACTCTTGAATAGACAGACGTCAATGACTACGGTAAAACTTAGACTCTATTTTAGCCGGCAGGATTGATTGAAATGTCCGAAAAATGACGCCAAAATACACCTTAAAAGTCCCATTTTATTTTCTTAAATCCCATTATATTTTTTAATCCAAGGGCGAATTTACGGCAGAATTTGGTCCCTCAAATCACCGGTACGGTGCTCAAATAAGGGACACGTGAGCTTTGATTCTAACCGGATACATTGCACTGGGTCGGGGAGATCGTTTGCTAAACTTCCATGTATCTTTTGTCCAATGGGTACCTGTACTTCGAACATTCGCAAGTTTTCCTAGGTAGTGCGAGACAGCTTTGTCTTTTGACCTATTAGTTTTGTGCTGACCTCTTCTCC